ATATATATATATATATATATATATATATATATATAATGTGTAATTATAGTATTATATATAATAAATATGCTGTTATAAAATACGTAATTTTATTTGAAAAAAAAATTAATACACCGACAATCTTTCTATATATATACATATATATATATATATATTCTTAAAATCAGACGAGTTATTTTTTTAAGGAATAATATATAAACACTCATCCACTCTAAACATATCGTCAACTCATAATTTTTTTATCTTTTTCTATCACATATGCCATATATCATACTTGTATTTATGTCTCTTATATCTCATTCTCTTATAAAGTATCAAATAAACTTATAATTTTTACAAGACAATTTTTTTTATAAGATTACATTCTTTTGTATGTCCACTCATATTAGGGCTTTTTGAAATAAGTTAAACCAAATCTGATTCGATTTAAAAGGTTTACTTAGCTAGAAACTTGAGTCAACTTTAAAATGAATCTATATTTTTAGCTAGAATTGAATTTAAGTTCTTTATTGAGTTCGTTGAATTGATGTTTAAAATTATGATTATATTATTTTTATTTCATATATAAAAAATAATGTATATTTAACTAAAAGTAATTATATAATGTAGGGACAAATGTAAGAGAATACGAGGTACTCCACGTGAAAAACAATAATTTTACGAGGTCCTAAAATTTAGGGCTGTAAAGTCGGAATATCTGAATCTGCACGATTGAGTTGAATTTAATCTGAGGGAGGAGTTTAAGGGCTTGTTTGATAAAGGGTAAATAGAGAAGAAGAGGAGGGATGAGAAGGTAAGTGTAGAGAAATTAAAATTTTAATATTGTTTGGTAAAAAAGAATTATGAGGAATTGTGAAGAAAATGGGGTGGGATAAAAAATAAATAATAAAAAAACCTTCCCTTCTAAAATAAGGAGATTTTTGAAAAAAATTACATTTTATAAAAATAAGAAAGGACAGGTGTTATATAAATATATATATATATATATAATGAAAATAATTATATATTTTTTAAATAAATTTATAAATTATTAAACTCTTAATAATTATAAACAAATATAAT